CAAATCTTAGGTGTTAAAGATGAAAATATAATACGACTCTATATAATCAGAACTACATTATATGTATGTGTCACATGTAAGCAAGCATTTTCAGTACAAAATAAACGATATAGAAAGTATTTTTTTTACAGTTTATATATATAAAGATTATCATAGGTCACTATTAATGGGTTTATGGATATTTATTAACAGGTTATAGACATAAATCATTACATATTAAATCTCAAGTGCTCGAAGTAATTTTAAACAATCTGAGTTAATTCTAAAGTTGGGCACTTATTTTATAATGATAGATAGCTAGTGACTTCTGGTACGTTATTTTGTTTGCGAACATAAGAATGTGCTTTTAGTTTTATTTAAAGTTTTAAAGAGTCAAACTTTATGGTATAGAACCTATAGGTAAAATATATAAGTACGATTAAGGTGTAACAAATTTGATGTTACAATATATTTCTACCATTAAGTAATCTGATGGGTTTTGATTTAAAGTTAAATGTATATTTAGAAAAATGAGAACAAAATGTAGTCAAAAATATGTAGGTAATTTATTCAGTGTTTTCTACAATCTAATTATTTATGTAATTCTTTCTGATCATGAAACCTCCTGACATATCCTGACCTTTGCCTGAAGTTACTGCACTTAATGACGTGTAAGAGAATCAAGTTATCCTTATTGTATCTTCACCCTAAGATTCGTATGCAACATATATGTATACTATAAATTATATACTCGCTGTTATAGAGCGGTAATATTTGAATAAGTGTACCATAGTAATTAATAGATTAATAAAGAGTTCATTACACCTTTTTGAAAGTAAGTCCCGGGTTTTATATCTATTTCATAGAAGTAGAAACATAAATACTTTATATTCAGATAAACTAAAGCAGTCGTTTTAAAGTGATAAATAAAAGATTACTTCATTCAGAGCTATTCAATGCTTTCTGACTCATACACTTCAATCGTATTAAATTATTAAAACGTTTTTCTATAAGATGAAGAAAACTGTGACTCCGTCATGTGACCGACTTTCCTATTTTCTCTGGTCCAGTAGATATTTTCTTGAGAGGTTTTTCACTCATGAATTGTTACATTTCTTTCCTTTTTTTTACGTAAAAAAGCGTTTCCTACATTCATGCTTTCTAAGATATTTTAATTTTCCTTTTCAAATAAAAATGAAAGTAGAGAAGAAAATATTATTTGCAAAGAGGAATATTTATATTTATTTCATCTCTCACTTTAAGTATTTGTTATAGCATTTATAAAAGCGGTGAGAATATAATACAATATTTTAATTTGAATACTATTTTACAAACTATTGTTACTTACAACCAATATATGTATATAAGGTAATAATGAATTCTAAATTAAAGTACTTCATGACTTATATGTTAGTTACGTTTTGTACATTTATTGAATTGCTTACCCGAAGAATGAGATAATCTAACGAACTAAACTTTTCTATGTAGTTCAACTGAAGAGGTATTATTAAAGTGAATACATAGAGATATTTTGTTAGAATTATAAACATTATTTAATTAGGTATTTCAATAAGATTTATTTATATTATAAGTAATGTCTCAAAACTTATAAAGAAATGGCCTGTTATACTACAAAAAATTATTAGATGATCCTTAATATGTAAGTTTAAGTCATATTATGTGCAAATAGAGTTACAGTGTTTAATGATTTTATAACTAGTATCAATATATTAATTATATTGTTACTAGGATTAAGCATTCATGAAAATCTATAAATTTCAAATACACTGTTTAGCTAAAGTGAAATTAGAATCTTTGACGTGGAAAAAGAGACAGCTTATTATTATAGGTACCTATATTCCAAATGTCGTTTTTATGCATTGGAATTTTTAAATCAAATTAATATGTATGTCATTTTGTTTATGGATAACTTTTTAAAATTGTGTCGGTATTTGGTATAGCTATTACATTTCATGATAAAACTAAAACTCACAGGAGTCATTCGTTAGCAGAACTTGTTCCTCTATACTAATGGAAGAGTAACTTGAATAAACTTCGCACACATTCGTTACGTTCCACTTAATGCACCTAACTTATTAAAGTTTGGTCACATATAATTTAAAATGTGTTCAGACAGTTCTAATTAGTGAATTATTATTATTGGTAGGTTATAAAAAGTGGGATTAATATTATTTGTAGTAACACAAACATTTTTAGCTCAAAGATTATTTATACCCGAGCAAATGAATGAGTTTGTGGTTAAAGGGCTGCTTGTTTTTGTTCACACAAACCACTTATTGAATTTATCTTAGTAAGTTGTACAAGTATGAATGATAAGGTAACTTTTTATATATGTTTGTATAAATTCATAAAGTTTTCAAAGGTGAGAATCTTGTCTTCAATGTTACTAGTATTTTCTTGCAATTTATCATAAGATTGTTTCAATATTCTTATAAAATGTGTAAATGGAAACCAATAAGTAAAAATATGCCGTTTTAATCGAAATGAATTGAAGTGAGAACCAATTTCTAACTTAAATAACGCCAGCCTTATCGTTGTGGCCACAATTCAATTAATATTTTATTTTACGCAATCGTTATACCTTGGAAAACTAAGGTTCAGTTTTGAAAGCATCCATATCATTTTTATTAATTAAAAAAATTAAAAGTTTGAATAAAATAATATAAAAGTTTTAATAATAGTGAAAAATTACAAGTTAAGAAATTTTAAAAAGTCCTGGCAGATGTAAATGTTATAATTTATTTAAAAATAATAAAGCAACTTTTAAAACCCTTGGATTAAGAAAGTTTTCCTCTGAAGTGACTGCCTTCCTTGTTTCCAAATAAAGTTTAAATTATAATGGTAAAAACAATAAAAAGTTACATTACAAGGCAAAGATTATCTTAACAGTTGTCATTTGTAATTTTCCCTGTTTCAGCTTGTTGCGACAACATGGTACGATTAAAAATCATTACGTGAAATTTACAACACTTCATGGTAGCACTGTTTCACATTATTGTGAAGTAACTAAGCGTTTATGTGTAAAATAATAGAAAAAAAATTAAATATATATATATATTTTTTTTTATTTTTAGCATATTTTACATTATGTCAAACTTTATTGATAGTAAGCATGACGAAATTATATCTTCCCTAGGGACATGGCGGTGTGACGAGAAAAATGTAGAAGAATTTTATTTATAGCTTTTTAACAAACAATTGTCCTATCAATAGGCGTCAGTGAAATTTTTAGGGGTTAAGTTTTCTTAAGAATCTTTAAAAATAAATATTGTGAGTGTAATTTGACGGACTGGAAATAAAGAGAATTTGTAGTTAATGTATATTTTTGGTTTTTCTATATATTTAAAAGTTTTCTTCATAATTGAACTCCAATAAACATTCAAAAAGTTTTACAATATTTTCGCACAAATTACATTTACTCTGAGTAAAACTAAGGGGAAATTTTAAACTGGGTAGTTTTGCTTATTTATGTTACAAATGCTACCTTGTTGGAAGTTTATTGGAGTCTCGTAGTAATATCTAAACACGTTTTTTGGTTTTGGATTAAATTATAATAATTAGAACAATATTTATTTGAATTTATCCTCTGGAATATTAATTTTTATATTGTATACCCGTTGTTAAAAACAAAATTTGCTATTTTGTGGTTTAATATGCTCGAACTATTTATATTTATTCTTCGATATCCAAATTGACAACATCTATGTGATGCAACATTTTCAAAATATCTTTTCAAAGTTTTCAATAACACTAAAAACTTATATTTGTTCAGAAAATACGGGTTATATATTTTTGAAATTCAAAAATTGTTTTTAGATAACACATTTTTTTAAAAGGCCTACAAAAACTATTTCAGTTAATAAATTCGTTAACAGATATAAAAGAATAATTTTTACTCTGATTTTTATATTGTATTTGTTGATTCGTTTTAACTCACTTCAATGTTTCAATTTTTCAATCAATCTGATCTAATTTCATCTAAATTAAAATTCCTTTTTGATTTAGTAAATACTGCTTAAAGAAAAAAGGTGTGCTGAATTTGCTTTTTTATTATTTGCATTCAATGATTCTTGAGGGATTTTCTGATTTAATTAACAGGCGTCTTTAAATGGTTTTTCAATATAAAAAAATATAGGATTCATAGTTGCAGGATTTGTTAGATGATGAAAATTATTTTAATGGTTCTAAAACGAAATTCTATTTAATCTATTTAATCTCTTTAATTTAATCTTTTGTGTTTAAAATAAGCTCTCATTAAAAAGAAAGAAATTAACTGATTCAGTTTTCATTTTTAACGTTGAAAGTAAATATAATCCAACGCTCTCATGAAATAAATATTAAACTGAAAGCATATTAAACAATGTACAGTGAGTCTACAAATATTCAAATATCAATATAATGAATATGTATATTGAACACTCTATTTTTTTGTGAATGTAAAAGATTTTGTATTAAGAATGAATTCAGTTATAATTATAGATTAAAATTTAGAAAAGTGAATTGATGTCGTAGAAGAAAAATTCACGCGGAGCAAGTTATAGTCGAAAGAAAAAAAAACATTTATAAGTACATCAAAATAATATTGAAATGATACACGATTCACCAATCAGATAATATATATTACATATAAGGGAAATTATTTGTAATGAAATAAAGAAACGGTAGATGTTAAATGCTTTTCTAAGTATTTTTATATTCTTTGAACTTCCCAAACCATAACATTGAATGTATGTATGTAGCGCAGGTTAATAAATGAATTAGTCTGAAAGTGCATGACCTAAAAAGTATTAAAATTGTTATAAAATTCCTGTATAAGAAACCTTTTGTTTTAATTAATATAGAAGAAAAGATTACATCTTGATCTTTAATCTTATGATAAAATTAATTTATGCAGTACTCTTCTTCCTTAAGGTCTTTTACTGTGATTCTGTTAAGATTAGTGAGGGAATATAATATACATTATCGCTTTCTCATTCCAACCAGTATTCATTGGAGATGGGTTAGTATTCCTCTGCCAGTTCATGTCCTTTAATACTATTAGATTCATAACTTTCCCAGTCAAATTTGATTCCAGTAATTTCTTCGAACCAATCGTGGTAATATCCAGGACGAATGTATCCTTGAGGAAATAATTTTAATTAATTCTCATTGATTTATGTAACGCATAAAAATTAATGTTTCAGTTGTAATAAAATATTTATAATCATAAATTAATATTGAAAATTGGTAATGAATATAATTCTTACCTGTAGGACGTCCAATGGTACATCCTAAACGGGAACCGAAGCTGACAACTCCTATTTGCGTTACTCGGCCGTCTTCGTCGATTTTAGTCAAAGGACCACCACTGTCTCCCTGTATGTATCATTTATTTATTTATTTTAAAATATGGTTTTATTCGTCAGCTCATTTCTTTGATTTAATTCTACCCTAAAGATTTTTTTTATTATATAGTAAGTCCCTAAGCAAAATCCTTGTAACTTACGTAACAAGCAGATTGTGTAGCATTGTAACTTTCAGCACAGACGGTTGAATCTCTAACTGAGCGGTAAATTCTGGCACAGTCTTGATTGCTGTACCCTCGAACAAAGGTCCAAAGAAGGACGTCGGAAGAACTGTCGCCTAAAGCAAAAACAAAGGAATGTATATTTTTTTCCATTTTGCTATAGTAAATATTTTAAATAACGTGGCAAATATTTTAAATTACTTACCGTTCCAGGATTCGTCGGTATATCCGAAGCCGCTAACAATCAATCTCTTGCCTGTGTAGTCAATGTCCTTTTGTTTTGAGTTTTGCAAACGAATTGGTTGAATTGTAGCTGTAAATTTTATAGGTATACAAAGCATTTCTTTTTATTTTTAATAATAATATCATGAAATTAGTAAAACAAGTGAATATATTTCATTACATAAGTTTTCAAAGAAACACAATGCAATTATTCATATTGATATTTATAAATTTTACTTACGTCCATAAGTCACGCTTGAGCTCAATTTTAAAAGACCAATATCATTTGGTTGGACTTGAATGAGGTCGCCGATATAAGTTGGATAGAGAAAAGCGTTGGAGTCATCTTCTTCCAATATTAGCTGAGGCTTGTCCAAATGGATTACACCGAAACGAATATAGAACTTCACAAAACTAAAATAGAAGACTCATTTTTACATAACTTTTAATTTACGTCTGATAAAATCTTCAAAGAGATAACTACTCTGAAAGACCCTTATGAAAGACTAAGGTTTCTCTTTATTTTGATAGTACGGGATAACTTAAAGATAAGACAAACAGAAAACTGCAAGGTCCAGAACACAAGGCTAAGATTAAATTATTACTTACCTGCCCAAGCAATGAGCAGCTGTTAATACCCACTCATTGTGTATGATTGAACCTCCACAACCGAGTACTCCACCATCAGCTCGGATGGTTCTCAAATGCACTTGGTAAGGTATCTGTCCCTCCGCTGCTTCTATACCTCCGACAATTCTGGCACCTATATAACAAATTCCTATTAGAAGTATTATACATAATTTTTAAAAACTAAACAAAGTACTTTAAAATCCACGCAGCAATTGCTACAGCATTTATGTTGTGACGATTGGAAAGATATGAAAAGATATTGTAGATAGCGCAACAACTTGAAAATTTAGTCCAAATTGTAGTTTTTCGTGCTTAATTTAATGCTATTCATTATATGCATAATTAATTATATATTTTTACTTTTACTTGAAACCCTGATGTCTTCAATAAATCCCACATCATTGTCAGCAGTTAAAGGATTGGCCTGTAAAATGAAAAAAATTTGAAGTGTTAGTAAAAAAAATAAGCTAACATAATGTTAAAATATTCAATACGTATGTATATTCATTAAGTCATTTTTGTATTAAAATGTTAAAAGAAGTAGCGTTAGTATATATAACGTTAAATAATTCTAAGAAAGGGTTATCCGTAAAACTAATACCTGCCGTTGGGAGTTGCATGTTACATTATACAAGGCGAGCTAAGTAGAATGAATTAAACATTTCATACCTAATCCTCTATTTTATTTTTTCAGAATGGAAATTTTTCAACCCTTAATTAAAGCAAAATATAAAAAATTAGCAATAATTTTAGAAGACGCTTGGCTATATTCGCCCAAAAATGCCCAAAATATAATGATAAAATAAGTCAATAAAATGGTAAGCAACATGTATTGATTTTTTGTGGGAACTTAGATATTGGATGACAGACAAATAGTCTGATAAGATATACAATAAAATATACTTTACAGTAATTTCAATTCCAATGATCTTAAACTGAAAAGCATTCTTTATAGAATCCAGCCTATTTGTCGTGCCCTTATACTTTATTATTTTCTTAATCCCATCATACTATGATATATACTAATAAAGCTGTACTACAGAGTAAAAGCCGATTATTTTCTTATTTATGCAAAAAAATCTTCGGATGAGTTTTCAATCTCTTTACTTTTTAATTCGTAAGGAAAAAGAAATAAAAACTCGTTTTCATATAAACGGATATAAAAAGAGAGAAACAAATCTAAGTAGTTGAATGAAATATTTTCCTCCTGTTTTGCATATATCTCTTTCTGCTAATTTTATTTAATCATATTTTACTTACACTTAATTTTATTTCAATCTCTCGGCTTGGCTTGATACGTAGCCTAGACTTATATTTAAACTTAATTTTTTTTTTTTGGGCTCCATAACTACTTTTGTACATATGATATAACCATGTTATACATGGTATAATTTGAAATAAAAAGGTTTACCAATAAAAAAATTTAATTTAAAAGTTTAAGAGTTCTAAAGAACATGTAACGTCAACATTACGCTATAGATAAATATTATAGTGAATAAGCAAAAACCATTTTACCTGTACCAACCCAAGAACTAGAAGAACGCCCAGAAGGTACACGCTAGTCATGACGATCACTAGATGACTAAATGGTATTTCATTAAAAAGATAATATAGGTGCGATTATCAAAAACGTATTTATTCGTAATTAAGACAAGATGTCAATAGATTACATATGTCATGTTATAAGATAAAATCCTAACTATTATCATATGTACCATGTTGAAATAATAAATCTGGATGTCTTTATGTTTGTGAGTTTAAACCAAAGTGGGTTATTAGCAGAATTAAATTGTATACAGCTAATTTAGTAATTGATTTCAAATACACATTTGTTTTAAAGATATGCATGTTGTAGAAATTCATACTACATATAATTGAGTTATAAAAACAGTCGAAAATGCTAACGTAATTGAACATTTGTTTTAAGCATTTAATGGAGCGTACAATAGATTAAGTGATAAATTGCCGATACCGATCTCATTTTATTGATTTCAGTCTAATTAATCGACCGTTTATTGATAATGGTTCCATATGTGCATAATGTGATCGATAAAATGGAATCACGATGAATAAATTAAAATACTACTTTTGATGGAAGAAAAACCCAGAAAAAAAATAATAGATAAAATTGTTACTATCAATAATTTGTTTTTTTAGACATGAACTAAATGTTCATGAGTTGTATTGGTTCCACTAATAAAAATGACAATAATGTTAATATGGTTTTCTTTTAGGGAAATTGTGAAGATTTGGTTTCATAGGTTCCTGTATTTTTTTATGAAGCTTAATAAGACAATTTCTCCGGCTGAAGGAACTTCTTACTGAGATGAAATTACTGTTTAGTCACATTCTCTGGTACATTGTAGGCTTGTTTAAATTCATACAATCAATGTTTACGAGGTTGGGCTGACTCTTAGATAACTTGCTTACAAGAAATTTTGGGAAAAAGACAGAAGTACGGCAAAGCTGCTCTCAGTGCAAGAAATTGTGGTTCTAAAGTTGCAAAAAAGCTTTTTCATTCCATACTCAACAATATAAAACCTGCATTCATCGGAGTACTGGTCCGTTAATTTAAAGTCACTCAGTGAGGTTAGAAACGAAAATTTATCTGGCAGATCAAGTTCCAGATAAAGCGACAAGTCAGATAACTGAAAAAAAAATTGCTTGAAGTGAAATTAGGGTAGTCTATCCAACTATCAGAAAATTGATGAAGTTGAAACGCTTTGGAAAGGAAACTTCGTTGGAAGACACAGAGCCCTACAACATTACTGAACGAAGACTTGAGAAAGCAATTTAATTAAAATATTAAGCAAAATCTTGCAGGTGGTTGTATTTGAGAATTTGGGAACTGAACAGTGTGCGCAGTTTGGCGTGACTTATGTTCAGAAGTGAAAGGCGATGGTTTGACTTCGTTTTTTGACTCAAAAAAAAAAACATACATATTTAAAGCTTTAAATCTTTAAAATTTAAAAATAAATCATACCTGTTTCTTTTCTTCATGTGTAATGAAAAGGAAGAATTTCTTAATCACTTGGTAAGCAGTATTTTTTTTAATTTATCATTAACTAACATTGTAATATTTTTTATTTACTTTATTCTATAATATTTATAAAAAAACTTTATAATGAATTGATGTTTAATTTCGTTTTTCTGATTTCAGATGAAAAACTTTGAAATTGAGAGCACTTTGAACTGAAGTTAGTAAACAAAAGAACCCTTCAACAAGAAAGAATACTTGTAAAGAATAATAAATTTGTAAAGTTTAATGAGTCTTTTTATAACGTTATTACGTATTTCAGGATGAGAAAAACAAAGTTACTTTAGTGAAAAATTTTGTTTCATGAATTGAATATATAACAACACCTAAAATAAACTCCTGTGGAAGCGTCTTCACTTTTATATCTCGAATATCAGCTTGAGTACAAAAAGACTACTTCTTTTTTTTGACCTTATACTTATTCTATACCTAATTTGAATAAGGGCGGTACCATTGTAGATCTAATAAAAAGTTGTGAAACACAGAGTTATTTTTAAAATTATAATATAAATAAACAGTGAAGAATAAGTCTGAAAATGATATAAATTAATGTATGACATTTTATTTCCAACATTTATTACTAGAATAGAAAATCGCGGGCGCACACGGACAACGTTGCGAAAACAGATAACTGAATTATTTATATTTACATGTGTCACCGGGACATAATAAACGACCAAAGGAAGCAAAAATATAACAGAAAGGCAGTGTAGGTGAACTCATTTTATGAAGTAAGTACAAAATTATTTTTATTGAGAGTCGTTGCAATCTACAATAAAAAAGGAGACTGGCTACTTCAATCACATTTTTTTTTTGAATGTTTGGTGCCAGATAAATTTTAATTTGTTTGTCTTGCAATTGATATGGTTTTTTATATGTTTTCAGTTTTGAAATTTAGATGACGAATGATACAAGGTCTTTTTAGTATAAAATGAAAGTATCTAAATTTTTAAACTTAAACACGAAATATTTATTTCTGAATCTACTAGGGTACACAATAACTGGCTCCGCTCCTTGGGTCCTTGAGGCGCGAGTTCTGGCTGAAGTTTATCATAGGGTCGTTGAAATTAGGCGACGCGGCGATAACCCATTAAAAGAGCAAGTGGAAACGCCAGGTTTGGTTCATCTTGATGGGTATCTGGGAACAACGACTTATAAATCCCACAGCTGGACGTTGATGTGGGGACGTCTGCCACCTTACCGGTCTGAGACCCCACAGTGTACCACTGATTAGAAATGAAGAGCTTAACTAATGAGAGAATGGCCCTTTTGTTGGTCAACTTAAGCTCGACTACAGCAGAATCGAATTACGGGCCAAGTAGAAGAGGGGCTGGTGGGACACCCGTCAGGTTTAAGTCGCTAGTGCGTCATTTTGAGAGTCTGACAAAACACCATTTATTTTCTTCTCCTCATGCAAGATAGGGCGAATAAAGCCTTTTCAAACGCAATAAAAGAATGGTTACTAGTACATTGTATTCTTATGATACATACATATGGTCGATATAAATCAATTATTTAATTGTGTACTGAGAATAAAACAAAAATATATTGGTGAAAATATAAAACAAAACTCTTCAAAATATAAATTAATTTTTACAAGGATTTTATGGGTAAGCTTAGCGATTCACTGTCATAAAATATAGTTACAAACGGAATATGTAGAAGAGTTTGCTTTTATTTATTTGGTTACTTTTGTTACTTTACATTCATATTTTTGTTAAAAAGTTCATATTTCTTAGCTTATTTGTGTACAGAATGCTTCCTATTTTTAGGTTTCCGTATGTTAAGCTATAAGTGTTATTAAAAAATATTATTTTCTTCATAATTAATAATTCTTTTATTATTAAAATATTTTATTAAAATATTTTATTCCTTAGTATAATTTTTTATATATAAGTAAATACATAATTATAAACACGAATAACTCAAACATTGAATTTTAAGAAAATTACCACTCGTATTTGTTCTGGAATTAGAGAAATACTCGTAGGTTTAAAGACATATTTTATTAAATTTAATAAATTTATTCAGAAATTTTAATAAAATACAACCTTTTTACTTTGTTGGTAACTATATATACCGTAATTAAATACGTTTATAACGGAAAGCTTTTAACTGCGGTCTTGTCTTTGTAAAATGGGATATAATAGTAAAAATATACTTTAGATTTTTAAAAAATCATATAATTTATCATATATAAACAGAACAGCAAGAAAAACACAGCTTTGTTAATCTATACAAATACAATTAAAGTGTCTGTTTGTAATATTTAAGTAACCTTTTTTTACTACATGCATTTGAATATGTATATGGTACATACAGCAAAATACCATTTTTTACATTTTCTGTCTGTCTCTGTGTTTGTTCCGGATAATTTTTGAAATGGCTGGACCGATTGTGACGGGACTTTTACTGGCAGGTAGCTGATGTAATAAGGAGTAAATTTGGCAACTTTTTATCCCGATACCGATATTAAGTATTATCACGGGCGAGTGGGATTCAGGACGCACGAGGCGCTTAAAAGGTTTTTTAATTGTTTATTTTTTCTTTTTTTTACGCAGACGAAGTCGCGGGAACATCTAGTATTAAATGAAATTGTAAATGACAATGACAATAGTTGGTCGTGTTTATCTTCCATATAAAATGTATGCTTAGTTATAGCGACCGTAATTACACGTAATGTTACATTTTAGCTCAACTTAACGAGCTGTCGCATACACGTGATTCGACGGTAGGTAAGTAAACATTTGATTTTATTACATCATTAAGCTCCTACGATCATTGAATGGGCTATTCGATTCTCTTTTATCCGTGACTAAATAGATAGGATTATCATCACACATGAAAAGTCCTCAGTTCCATTTATTTTGAACAATTTCTAGCTTTTAAAAAGAGCGTACAGTCAATTTTGTTCATTAACTATGACTTTCATTCGATATATCAACAAAATTTGTTTTGACTATTTCTTTTAGAAAAAGAAGGAAAGAGCTTCAGTTTTAAATTTTAATGAAAAACTACAAGGAAAATGATTTTATAACTTCAATTTACAAGTGACGTCTACCACTTTAGATTATATCTACATATATAAATATATATACATATATAGTCGTTTGTAGGTACAAAGATTACAGGTAACAAGACCGGTTGAAAGTGAAGTCATAAGATTTCCTGTTTCAAATAGGTATTACGTGACATTTGCGAAATAAACTGTGCACGTATTCGCACAGTTGATAGCGACAAATTATAAACGTGACATAACACTCCTTTTCAATGAAATTAAGTTTTCCCAAGTATTCAATATACATATGTACGTTTCTTTATAACATAAAGAAAAAGGATAATTATTTATAATAAAGAAAAAGGATATAATAAATTTCTTCACTTTACTACTTCTCTTCACTGAAAAAGATTTTATGATTGCCGAGGGCTGGGAAATGACCTGGCTTCTTTTACGTATTCTTAATAGCTTTTATAGACTTCGCCTCGCAACTGATTCCACAGAAGAAAATATATTTCAAATAACCCTGGT